CCAACAAAAAAAAAAAAAAAAGAGGAGCTAGGCTGGGCACAGTCACTCATGCCTGTAATCCCAGGCTGAGGTGCGAGGATCACTTGAACCAGGAGTTCGAGACCAGCCTGGACAACAAACGAGACCTCGTCTCTACAAAAAATAAAAGTTAGGGCATGGTGGTGCATGCCTGTAGTCTCAGCTACTCGGGAGGCTGAGGCAGAAGGATTGGCTGAGCCCAGGAGGTCGAGGCTGCAGTGAGTCATGATTGTGCCACTGCACTCAGTCTGGGCAACAGAGCGAGACCCTGACTCAAAAAATAAAACTAAAAGAGAGGCTAACTGGGCGCTGTGGCTCACACCTGTAGTCCCTGCTACTTGGGAGGCCGAGGCAGGGGGATCGCCTGAGCTCAGGAGTTCTAGTCCTGCCTAGACAGCATAGCAAGATCCCACCTCGACGAAAAACTTTAAGAAGCTGATGCTGAAGTGGTGGGGGACCAGTGTCCACCTGCTGCCTCCATGTGTTACCATGCACAGCACCAGGTAGAATGTGGGCTTTCCTGCACCGTGGCCCCTAAGCCCACACCAACAACCCCATCCAGCTTCAGCATTTCTCCCATAGGAGGAAAGTCAGCTGAGGGAGGCTGCAGACCGCTAAGAACATCTAGAGACATTTGACTATCTGCCCCTGCCTTTAGACACTGACCCTGTCTCAGATGTGACGCCCCATGTCCTTCAAGGGCCCTCTCCAGGGACCAGGGAGACAGCAAAGCCACACTTACCCAACCCATTTGTCGGGCACCAAAGAAGATGGGAGGCCATGCCCAGTTCAGGGCCAGCTGCCCTGTGTAGAGGCCCAGGGGAACCACAGCCTCCTCTGAGAAGCCTCCCAACTCTTTCCAGACCAGGTAGGAGCCATATCTGAAACAGAGGCCGCAAGTCAGGGCACCATCAGGAAACAGGCCAGGAGCCTCACCTACCTCTGGGTGACACAGTGGTGACTCAGGCATGCCCTGCCACTGACTGCTGTGTGACCTCAGGGAAGCTGCTTGACCTCTCTGGGCCTTTGTTTCTCATAGGGCTGCTGTGGGGACTTGAGTTAATACATTGGCACACTTCACACATGGGACACTCGATAAATATTTGCCATTATTCTCATCATCGTTGTCATGAAGGGGGTGAAAAGGAGGCTCTTAACCTAGCCAGGGCACTGCACAGAGGATGGGACATTTGGGCTGGGCCTCAGAGGATGACTAGGAGTTTGCCAGGGGGAAGAAACAATATGCAAAGGCTTAGAGGCAGATGTGAGACCCCAAGTCTGTGTGACTGAGGTCCAGGGACTTGGGGGTGGCCTGGTTGTGGGAGCTGTTAACACAAAGGCAACCATACCCAGTGGTGATGCCCTCCAGCACGCCAGGCACGGCTCTAGCACTTTCCAAGCATTCGCTCATTTCATCCTCATGATGCTATAAGGTGGGCGGTATTATCACCCCCTCCTCTTACTGTGAGGAAACTGACACCCAGAGAGGTGACGTGACTGAGCTGTCTTGGCAGGCAATCGGTGGAGTGTGTCAGGATGTGAACCCAGGTGGCCTGGGACCTGGCTCTTGCCCCTACGTGAGGGGTCCCACCTCATCCAGAGCCACAGGGAGCCTCCAGGAGGTTCCCCAAGAGAGGCTGGGGTTGGGTTTGTGCTTTATCCAGATCTCGATGGTGGAAGAAGGCCAAGGGGGCATGTGGGGGCCTGGAGTCTGGAGCCGGCTAAGGCAGGAACAGTGATGCCAGGGCCAGTAAGTACAGAAGGCCTGGCTGGGCAGGGCCCCATCCGGCAGGGATGGGGTCCAGGTGACACCCAGGTCTCAGGGTCTTATTCCCATCAGGACCAGGTACCCAACCTTGCCTCTGCTATCTGCCCCCTGGGGTGCCTGGCACCTGCGGCCCCACCCTACACATGATGCACTGGGCTGGCACAGAACCAGGATGCAGGGAACCTTCCAGGAGGGCGGGTGGCTGACCACACCTCCTGGGTGCGGTCCCGCTGGAGCCGCCAGGGGCGCCCTGTCCCATCCAGCACTTTCTCTCCCCTTGACAATTCCCCGAGTCTGGTCGCGGGGGGTACTTGGGGGTCAGACTGAGCCTGAGAGGGGCTTCTGCAGGGTCCCCACTTGCCAGGCCTGTATTCCTGGGAGGCCCTTGCCAAGGGGGGCTGTGGGCATCTGCGGGATAAAGCCTGGCCCTGAGCTGGAGCTCAACAAAGGGAGCTGGTGTTGCTGGTACGGTGGCCCTTGACTATCTTGGGAGCGTCCACACACTGCCCACAGGCGACCTCTCCACGCCGAGCCCGCCTCCCCAGAGCTGTGATCACGGCCTGGGATGCCGGGGTTGGGTGGCCGTTGGCCCAGAAGGAGAAAGTTCAGTTGTGCAACCGACAGGCCCACAGCCTCCACCCCCACCAGCTTGCCACACAGGGCTGGGGAAACAGGCGGAGGCCCACGGGCTGCCCGGGATGTAGAACCCAGGACGAGAACCTCTGCCCTGGGCAAGGCCCCCCTCTGCCAAGGGCCCGGGCTTATCCCCAGGCTCGGGCCACGCCCACCTACCCCATGGCCGAGTACAGCGTGCCCCACACAGGGGCCAGTGCCCAGCGGGGCGGGTGCCACGAGGGCTTCTGCAGGCTGGCGTACCAGCGCAGGCTCTCGCCACGGACAAAGTGGGAACCCAGGAAGCCCCCTAGGCTGGGCACCAGCGTGAAGCCCACGGCGGGCACCCAGGGCGGGGCCATGGCAGCTGCAACTGTTGTTCCAGAAACTCTGAAAGAGAAGATGGGGCCGGGTGAGAGCCTGTGGGGCCGGGGGCGCCTCCTTCAGTGTCTCAGGGTCCTGCCACCCACGGATCCACCAGGCGTTGACTGATGTCCAAGGCAGGGGACCTGCGTGCACATGCGTCCACCCACACTCCTGCTCAGCGCCCTGCCCTGCCTGGCTCCACTCCTGTCCCAGCCATGGCCCTGGCCTTCTCTCCCCTCACCTTGACCTTGGGTTACCTGGCAGTGATCCCTCCTCTCAGCCATTCTGTCCCCTTGCACCAAGAAGCCTTCCCAGCCTGCCTCCCCGGGACAAGTACCAGCCTTGGGTGCTTTGCCAAGCCTGCGACTTACGTTCCAGCACTTCACGTTCATTATTCATTCATGCATCACTCATTCATTCACTGGATTACTGGTATCAGACAGAGCTTGGCGCAAATCTCTATTCCTCATGGACTCACTGTGATCTCAGGCAAATCAACTTTCTGGGCCTCAGTTTCTCCCTCTGTAGAATGGGATATTGATCCCACCTACCTTGGGCCCATCCCAGTGCACAGCATCAAGGAGCGTCTTTCTACACAAGTGTTTCACACCACCCCAGCACAGGCCCACCCTAAAACTACCACTACCCTTTCCCAGTGCACCAAAGAGGGAAAACAGCCTGCCTGGGGTCACATAGCTCTCTGAGCCAGGCTCTGTTGGTGGCAAAGCTGCTCTCATCCAGACCTCATCATGAAATGAGGCACTGAGCTCCCACTAACACACTGATCCTGGTTGGATCATCAGGGGGTATCTGTTTTAAGAAGCCACACAGCACAACTCAGTTCAACTTGCTTCAAGGCTGGCTGGGGTAAGTGGGGTGTACCAGGGGTGGGTGCCCTGAGAGGGCACCAACCCAGGCTGAGGAAACCCAGACCTTGGCAAGGAGCCCCAGACCAGGGACCAGGGACGAGATGGTGCAGAAAGGACAGAGAGCACCCCCTTCACGGGGCCCAGAGGGACAAGCAGTTCAGGGGAGCAGGACAGGTGGGAGGTCAGCCAGGAGCAGCCGCAGTGAAGACACTGGGCTGAATCTGGGGCCATAGGGGCTTCAGGACAAAGGGCAGAGGCTGCCCTGGGGAGAAGGGGCGGCTGCTGGCCTGGGACTCCCTGGAGCTCAGTCTCAGATACAACCCGAGTGCCCAACGAGTGGGACCAGGAAAGACTGGCCAGCCTCAAATCAAGCTCCTGGAGGCTTTTCATGATGTGAAAATTGTCCTCAACATAGCACGAAGAAAGCATAAATAACATTGACCATAGGATGACCCCATTTCAGCAAAAAAAAGCTAAGTGCAGTGCCTCATGCCTGTAATCCCAAAACTTTGGAAGGCAGAGGAAAGAGGACTGCCTGAGTCCAGGGGTTCAAGACCAGTCTGGGCAACTTGGCAAGACCTCGTCTCCACAATAAATCAAAAAATTCACCAGGCTCGGTGGCTCAGCCTGTAATTCCACGCCTTTGGGAGGCTGAGGTGAGTGGATTGCCTGAGCCTGTGGGTTCAAGACCCGCCTGGGCAGCGAGACCTCATCTCTACAATAAATCAAAAAATCAGCCGGGCGTGGTAGCGCATGCTTGTAGTTCCAGCTACTTGGAAGGCTGAGGCGGAAGGATCGCTGGAGCCCAGCAGGTTGAGGCTGCGGTGGCCAGGAGCGGTCACTGCACTCCAGTCTGGGCGACAGAGTGAGACTCCAACTCAAAAAAAAAAAAATTCATCGGGCATGGTGGCACACGCCTGTGATTCCAGCTACCTGGAAGGTTGAGGAGGAAGGATTGCCTGAGTCCAGCAGTTCAAGGCTGAGGTGGCCGTGAGCGTGCCACTGCACTCCAGCCTGGGCGACAGAGTGAGACTTCTACTTAAAAAGAAAAAGAAAAAGAGAAAGATAACGTGGATATGCATTTTAAAAATTGTAGCCGGGCTCGGTGGCTCAGCCTGTAATCCCGTGCCTTTGGGAGGCTGAGGTGAGTGTCTTGCCTGAGTCCACAGGTTCGAGACCCACCTGGGCAATTTGGCGAGACCTCATCTCTACAATAAATCAAAAATTAGCCGG